TTGATGGCAGTGGGTGCCAATGGCTCAGCGAATAAGGAGGCAGAGACCCAGGACAACTGAGGCTCTCGTGCACATTGCTGAATCCTAATGGGGCTCAGGTAAGTGTTAGGGGGGCTAAGGGTACTGCTGCACACAGAAGGTTTTTTACCTTCATGCATAGAATGCATGAAGATTAAAAAAACCTTGATCCTTTACAACCACTTTAAGGGCCAGTTCACACTACTTGCATTTCAACGTGCTTTTTTTCTGCATCCAAAATGCACAGAAAGTAGGTTATATGGTTGTTAATGTCATAGTTCGCATCAGTGCTTGCAGTCCCAGTGCGTTCCGAATGCAGAGAAAAAACAGGCTGCGTTGTTTTGCCTGCACAGAACTGTACCAGATATGCACTGGAACGCACATTTCCCTGCTTATATTGAAGAAAACAGAGGGGAAAAATGAACCGGAAAGCAGAAAAAACGCACCAGAATGTGTAAAAAAACGCACCAGAATGCGCCAAAAATGCATCAAAAACTCATCAAAAACGCGCATGCAGAAACACACCCGGAACACATCATTTCTATAGTGTAAACCGACCCTAAAGGAACATGTAACATGTTCTCAATGCTGCAGCCTCTGGCCGATCTCCCCCGTGACAGCAGTACAGGGAGAAGTTCCCAAAGAAGTTGTCACTTTTTTAATAGAGCACAAACGTGAATAAACTACAAGTCCTGACAGCCTTAGCTTGTAGTTCTCAATGAACTCTACAGCGCCGTGGTAGTTCATTGATTCTTCCTGTACGGGCAAGCGGATATACTGACAGGTCTGCAGGAGACCTGCATGGCACCAGCGATTTACTGATCTCTGGTGCAATGCAGTACAGGCTCCTGCGGCTAAAAAAAAAAAAAAAAATGCACATTTTTTCCTGCATAAAAAAGGGCATTTATTATTTTTGGTCAAAAGGTGAACTTATCTCTTTACCTATGTGAACAATCATTCTGCACAGTAAAGAAATGATGGAAAAACACTGCATGCATACAAATTAAGCAATGAAGCTGTCCCCTGCATCTAATATATCTGCTGTATTGGTGTTTGTTCAGATCTGGATAGGAAAATCAGCAGTGACGAACCTGTCATAGTTGTAGCCAGGGACAGATCATTTGTAATTTACTCCACCATGTTCCTTTAAATATCACAATGAGTACTAATAAATAATAAATGAATAGTAATAGCGCAGCAAAGTCAGGAGTGTGCAGGTAGAAGATTCCATTGTATCTAAGAGATGAAAAGGACGGCCCCATGTATGGAGGCTCATCAAACTCACACTGCCCCTTGAATAAGGCTTGTCTCATAATCCCTCTAATCAGTCTTTGAGAGATAGATATTTTGAGGTTGTGGGCTCAATACACCATGTGTACCCAGACAAATTCTAGTTCCACAGCCTTGGGTTTCTCTGGATTGGAATTTCAGTCACCACAGTCCTGAGATTTGTTCTTGCGATTGCCTCTAGGAGATCCTTAAAGTGGAACTTCACTCTCTCAATCAACATTGTTTTTAATCTTTATGCTGCTAGCATTAGTACATAGATAGGAAAGTATATCATATTTATTTGTGGTAAACTTTTTTTTTACATTTCTTCAGTTACTTCCTGGTTTCCATGCCTAGGAAAATTATGTCACACATCCCAGGAGCCTTTAGGAGGGGAGGGAGGGTTCTCAGCTCAGCCAATGCCTGAGCTAAGGGCAGATGGATTCCAGGAAGCAAATTCTACATGAATCATCTGCCTTTGCTCAAGATGGCCACAGCCAGAAATACCAGGGGGTCTTTTTCAAAAGTAATTTTCAGCAAAATAAAGCATGGACATATGGATGGATGGGGGAGTTTGCTTTGAATATTACCTCCTTAGCGGTATTCCCGAGTGTAGCTCGGGGTAAAATGTCAGTACCAAAAGCGATAACCCCGGGCTACAATTGGGCTTACCATGCGGCATTGCTCAGGGAGTCACTGCAGCACTTACCTTGTCCTTCGCTTCCACGATGTGTCCCCTGCAGCGTCTCCGGCCATCTCCTCCGGGCGATGCCGGCATCCGGCTTCCGTGTTCCGGTCCCTGTGACGTCGGGACGTACGGGCGCCGGAACCGGCGGCAAATTTGAAATGACTATTACATAGTAAAACATTGCTGTTTCAATGCATTTCACATACATTTTGTCCCTACTGCTTTGTCCTGTGCCCTGCCTGCATTTTGACTGTTCTTTCTGCCTGGAAACTTAGAAAAGTCCATGGCGTCCAAAAAGTGTCCCTTTAGGTCAAAAGTGGTTTTATACCAGCTAGAGAACAGCGATAGTAAATCAGAATCACTTGCAGAATTGAGTGATAATGATTTGTGGGGAAATTCGTCATCGGACACTGAAAACGAGTTTGCGACTTTGCTCAGCGATGTGCGAATTTGCCTCTGTATTTCAAATTTCAGTTTTTTTGGTGTGATTATATTATTGAATTAAATTTATTATTTATTATATTATTCTTTTTTATGATTATTTATTAAATTATAATTTATGATTTCGTGTTTCAAATTTTATCCTACCCGAGATGTTTACTAGACTCTTGTTCGGACAGATTTCAGTGAGTTATTCCTAAAAATTACAGCCTACAAAAAAAAATAACATATTTCCATGCAAAAAAATGGTACTGCTTTCAGCACAACAAATCGGAAACAATCATACCGCCAGGGAGGTTAACAATGAAATAAAGAGCATTTTTGGTTTGTGGTGCTCAGATGCAGTGCAATTACACTTTAAGGCTGACATTGTTGTGGTGATTTTGATTTGTTGCTATTTGCCTTTGCATGCAACGCCTCTAGGGATACCATCTTGATCTTTCAGGGTAGTTCTGATGGCCTTAGCCGTGTTTACCTTTTTTTTAACTTTTCAGGTTTTGTCATTTTATTGTTAAAGGCCCCCTGAATCCTCAAGTCCAGGGAGTCAAGGTCCTATTTTGTAGAGAGGAGAGGAATGATTTCTCAAGTCTTCTTTCATTTTTTTCTTCTAGGGTAGTAGTGGCAGGTAGTCATCCCATGGGAGGTCTGGAGTCAGTATTAGGGATGCTGGTAGACTTGTTTGATGTGCAAGAATCAGGGCTTGTGAAGGATAAGGTTTGCTTTGTTTTTTTGTTTGGTGTGGGTGCCAAGAAGGTAATACAAGTGGCCCATTCTCCCTGAGCTGGGATTTGGCAGAAGAAAAAAAAAATGTAAGAACATAATAAAAAAGAATGTAAGAGGTCTAGGCTTTGATGATCTCTGGTTGTCCCATGAGTTCCCCTTTTTAACCAAATTTAGCAATTTGGTGCCATGAACAGTGCCTCTGAAGTTGCTATTGGTCCCAACGACAAGGCTAGCATGGTTAAATGAACAGAATGTCACTTCTGCAGTGTATCCTTAAAGCAGTATTAAACCCAAAACCAAAAATGGAATATATTGCAGCTTACCAATCAATAAATGTATTGGCTACATCAGTTTCCTTTTATTTGGTCTTTTATCTCTGTTTCACTTCAGTAACACATCACCACTATTAGTGCGAAACCACTCTGGATGTATGAGCACAAGAGGCACAACAGACAGAAGTATTGTCAGTTGGGCAGGGGGGTGTATTAGCAGCTATAAATACACTAATTAAAGCCAAGCTCCAAATACTCTATTACCAATTATGGCAAACATTGTTTTTCCTTTTGGATTAAAGGTTTTACATGAATGAATAAAAGCTGATCATTTCACCCACTTCTGCCAATGGTAAATGGTTTCTCTCATCCATGTAAACTGATTCTGCTGCAGAACTTGACCTTTTGAAAAGCAACAGACTTTTAGGCTGGATCACCAGATGAAAATGGAAGAAAGCCTAAAAAGAAAATGATTGCAGCCATCACATTTAAGGTTGAATATTGCTTTAAGCATGTAAACAGTTCAGATATACGCATTTCAACTGTGTATGTTTTTAAAAAAATACATCTACACAAAACAGCTGTAAGGCATCAACTACCAGTAATGACAGCCCTGGTTTCCCCAGGACTAATTTCTGTCTTCTACCTCTTCTAATTTGATGCATCCTGAGCCTCCATGCCTCAGATGTTCTGTGTGTACATGACAATATTCTAACCTGTAGGCCCTGGTCTCCCTAGAGTTCAACTCATACCACATGCTTTGCTTATATGCATAGGTCTTTTACCTTTTATGAAGTGGAATTCCTGAGAGTACAGTATGTGACAATATGCTAGACTTTATAAGGTAAACTAACCTGTGACTGTGATGAGGGTGATGTAATACTGTATTTTGTACAAGTGCACTGATTACATTTGAGCAGATATAGAATGTTCAGAACATGTTGCAACCTTTGACTTAAAGATACATTATTCCATGTTTTGTTTCAGTTTTGAAGTTTATTTCTATTAGTTACAATTTTTGATGTTATTGGTATTTACATTGTATATATAAATTAAAAAACAATATTGTGACACCTGTGAAATCTTGTGTGAGTAACTGTGCTGGGAGAAAATTTTAATTCTGCCACAAGGTAGTAATGGCAGCTGCCCCTATTGAGTGAAAACACGCTCTAACCACTTGCCCTCCTGAGGATTTACCCCCCTTCCTGAGCAGGCCATTTTTTGGTGCTGCGTTACTTTAACTGACAATTGCATGGTCATGCAATGCTGCACCCAAATGAAATGTACATCCTCCCACAAATACAGTTTTGTTTCAATCGCCTGTGTGTTTTTAATTTTTTTGCACTATAAAAAAAAAGACCGACAATTTTGAGAAAAAAAAATATTTTTGACTTTTTGCAATTAAACATGTCCAGTAAAAAAATTTAAATCAAATTTTGTCATAAATTTAGGCCAAATGTATTCTGCTACATGTCTTTGCTAAAATGTGTAAATTAATTTACGTGAAATTTATAACATTTATAAATGGCGGTATATATATACTAGGATTTTTTTTTAAATTTGTACTAGTAATGGTGGCATTCAGTGACTTATAGCAGGACTAAGGCGGGTATTCTGACACTGGGAGGAACTGATTGGGTGTCACTGACATCCCCAGTGACACCAATACAGTGATCAGTGCTAATAAAAAGCACTGACACTGTACTAATGGCACTGGGCAGGAAGGGGTTAACATGAAGGGCAATTAAAGGGTTAACTGTGTGCTGTGTGTGTTTTACTATGGGGCTTTGTGTTTTTGCTTCACTGTAAGCACACTGCTTTGCATGGCTGAGCTGAAAGGGGAGAGAACTGTTTTGTTTACACACAGTTATGGAGATGTTTGGCAATCACCGGAAACTGGAGAGTAATCACTGTCTGGGGTCCGGTGATTGACAGCCGTGGGCACGAATGGTGGTGCGGGTAGAGCACACACGCACCTCGCGAGCCCCCTACCTGGCAATGCAAAATCATGTATATAAATATACGTGATTTTGCACACCCGTGCCACCCTGTAGCAGTACTTCTGCTATAGGGCAGATGGGAAGTGGTTAAGTAGGTAAAAGAGGGGGGACAATGGTGTTTGCATGCAGTGTCTATACTGTGTTAGGGAGAATGTTGGGCTTGCACCTGCTCACCAAACCCTTGGGAGATGACACAACCAAAATTGGCTGTGGAGGGTCCTGCTCCTGGATTGCCTCCTGACAACCAATAAAGACAGGGGGTAGTGATGCTTGCAAAGTGCTCGGCAGTGCCTAAGGGGCGGACTGACAACTCATGGGGCCCCCGGGCAATAGGGGATCATGGGGCCCGTGTCCTTGCCCAAACTCAAAAAAGCCTATGAAAAAGGTACCAGGGGCATCTCATGGGACCCCTACTGACTCCGGGCCCTCGGGCAGTGCAAATGGTCAGTCCGCCCCTGGGCTGAACTGATTCCTGGAGATTACTGTGGTCCCTGGAACGTTGAAAATCGCCCTGTGATGCTGGGTGATGTTGGACTGTCTGGCAGGTTTACTGTGCTGGACGGTAGAGCTGCGACCTTGCCTTGAAAGGGAAAAGACACGCTCCCCTCTGTCAGACCCCAGGTCCCTGCACCAAGAGAGGCAACATGATTGCTGCAGGGAATATATCTGCCATCCCAGGATGCTCTTTGGTTTTCCTCTCCTTTGGTAAATGTACTCCTGACAATGTTGAAAAATACAGTGTCTCTAAGAGATGGGACTACAGGTCCCAAGATCCTCTACTTTTCATAAACACTTCCCACTCTGTCAGCAGGAAATCTTGTGCTGAACACTAGAGAGGAAGAAAGAAAATCTCAGTCTGTGCAGCAGATGTCCCTGGATTGCCGAATTACCCAGCCTGAACTTGGCTACATCAGGTTAAATGAAACATAGAGATCGTGCTCTAAGCCTGTCTGCACATGCTTCTGAATACCTTCTCGAGTGCCACGGGACCCTGAAAAAGTAGGTTTACTCTGATGTGCTATTAACTTTCCAGTTTTCCATGGTTAACGATTGATTACTGATCGGTGGGCTCTATAACCAATAGATATAGATTTAGCAGGCAGAAATGGGAAGGCCAGCCTTGATTTCTTGAGAATCCTGATAGTTTCAGAGGTTCTGTGATGCTCAAGAAGGCATGTGTCTGAAGAAGGTACATACAGGTCTGTGAAGGTGGACCCACAAAAGCAGGACATTTTCTGAAAACAGGCTTTAAGCCCTGGTGCCCAACCTGCAGCATGAGAGCCACCTGCAGCCCTTTGGAACGCACCTCTCTGCGTGCGTTCCACTCACCGGATATGACACGGGTCTGCCGAGCGGTGCGTTCCAAGCAGCCATTTTGAATTTTGTTTGGATTGTATCCTGTCATCCCTTGCTGAACCAGGCTGTGAGGTCTCTGCAATGAAGTGTGGAAACAGTGGATTTTATGTGAGCCTATGGAGGCAATAAAATGATGCTTTTCATTCATCTGACAAATGTGAGTGGTCTGGTAATACTTTTAACAATACATCAGTTATTAGCAGTATTACACTATTTTACATTTCTTTCCCTTGCACTACTGTGGAGTTTGGAGAGAGGATAAGGCAGGAGCCAGTGGAAGAAATTTACCCCAAGCCCCACATGGTGGAAAGGAGTCCTGAAGGCTTAGAGGGTGCTTAGGATCCCTATGCATCCTAAAGGTGTATTACTCACCTGTATCTGGTGAGTGTGGCTGATATTGTTTTTTTTCACTGGTGATTGGTGGAAGCACTATCCTGGTTTGGACATTTGATTTTTTTCACCATTTGTTTGGGGAGAAAAGACTTGTATATTTTATTTATTTTTTGATTTGGACATTATTTATACTATCATTAATTTAAATTTTTTTTTTCACTTTAAGGTGTTTAAATATTGATTAAGGCAGGGTGTTGATTTGCTGTTTTTTTTTTTTCTTTTCATTTTTTGGTTTATTTTACCGGTGCACAGCAGCAATCTACTACCTGGTTGTAAGTTTTGGAGTTTTTCCTGTGCGCTGGGGTTTTGTGTATATTTATTTGAATTATACTTTTTGTTTAGTTTTAGTCACTGAAAACATGCAGCTGACGAAAAACTATAACGAAAATATTTTTGTTGACGAAATTTACACTGTTTTGGATAGAGTGGAGAGGGATTAGAACACCTCATGTTTTATACAGCGCTACCTGCCTGGAGTTTGCATGTTCTCTGTGTTCCTTTGGGTACTCTGGTTTCCTTCCACAAGACATGCTAGTAGGTGATTATAAGCCCCTTGAAGGTTTGGGAGTGATGTAAATGATATATATATATATATATATATATATATACACAGACTTTATTTGTAACTCTTGCCAAACGCCCCTATAGCGTTTGACAGGCGTTAGGCATTTAGGAAGCATTTTTAACGCTCCTCAAATGCCCTATGCGTGGTTTTGAGGTGGTTGATAGGCGTTTGCCAAGTGTTAAAACTGCACCACAAATGCCTATAATGAAGTTAAATGGTATTAACGCTCAGCAAATTCCTCACAACCGCGTTGCAAACACCTGCCAGGCGTTTGAGGAGCACACCATAGACTTGAATGGGAGGCTTCAACTCCTCCTGACTCCACATGAGGTGTTAGTTTTGCTGCGATGCAACGCTAACGCTTCAGTGTGAATAGCACTGTGTGCTGCCATGTGCAGAATTTTCATAAGCATTTGAGAAGCGTTAAAAATGCTTCCCAAACACCTGTCTGACGCCTGCTGACAAAGCTAGTGTGAACGGAGCCTTAGTGAGATTCACCCTCTTTATTTGTCTTGTTTACTGCTATCATTGAAAGTAAAAGAAAATCCCAAATTCTGGGTTGACACTAGAACAGTAATAGCATGGAAATCATCCAATGGGGACACTAATTCTGGTGACAACCATAGATTCCCTCACTTTGGAGGGATGGAAATTTTCCCAATGGGACACAGATGGTAAAAAAAACATGACGGGTTATAACCCCCCATTACACTATCCATGAAATAAAAAGAAAATTGCTTTTAACTACACATCAAACCTTATACATTGTATTTATTGCATGTAATGCAAACAAAAGCTAAATTAAGGTTAGTGTAAAAAAGCACATATATATATATATATATATATATATATATATATATATATATATAGTGCATCCAGAAAGTATTCATAGTGCTTACCTTTTGCCACATTTTGTTATGTTACAGCCTTGTTCCAAAATGAATTCAATTAATTTTTTTCCCCAATGTTCTACAAACAATACCCCATAATGAAAACGAGAAAAGTTCATTTTGAAATCTTTGCAATTTTATTAAAGATAAAAAACAAAAAAAAAACCACATGTACATAAGTATTCACAGCCTTTGCTCAATACTCTGTTGAAGCACCTTTAGCACCAATTACAATCTCAAGTCGTTTTGAGTATGATTCTACAAGCTTGGCACACCTATTTTTGGGCAATTTCTACCATTCTTCTTTGCAATAATCAAGTTCCATCAGGTTGGATGGGGAGTGTCGATGCACAGCCATTTTTAGATCTCTAGAGATGGTCAATCTGGTTTAAATCTGGGCTCTGTCTGGACCACTCCAGGACATTCACAGAGTTGGCCTGTAGTCACTCCTTTGTTATGTGGGCTGTGTGCTTAGGGTCATTGTCCTGTTGAAAGATGAACCGTTGCCCCAGTCTAAAGTCCAGAGCACTCTGGAACAGGTTTTCATCAAGGATGTCTCTGTACATTGCTGTATTCATCTTTCCTTCGATCCTGACTAGTCTTCCAATTCCTGCCACTGAAAAACATCCCCACAGCATGATGCTGCCACCACCATGCTTCACTGTAAGGATGGTATTGGCCATGTGGTGAGTGGTGCCTGGTTTCCTCCAGACATGACACTTGGCATTCAGGCCAAAGAGTTCAATCTTTGTTTCATCAGACCAGAGAGTCTTGTTTCTCATGGTCTGAGAGTCCCTCAGGTGCCTTTTGGCTAACTCCAGGCGGCTGCCATTTGCATTTTACTGAGGAGTGGCTTCCATCTGGACACTCTACCATACAGGCCTGATTGGTGGAGTGCTGCAGAGATGATTTTTCTCCTGAAAGGTTCTCCTCTCTCCACAGAAATGCTGGAGATCTTTCAGAGTGACTATTGGGTGCTTGGTTACCTCCCTTGCTAAGGCCTTGGAAAGCCCTTTGGCTGGGCAGCCCGCTCTAGGAAGATTCCTGGTGGTTCCAAACTTCTTCCATTTATGGATGATGGAAGCCACTGTGCTCATTGGGACCTTCAATGCTGCAGAAAATTTTCTGTACCCTTCCCCAGATCTGTGCCTTGATACAATCCTGTCTCGGAGGTCTACGGACAATTCCTTGGACTTCATGGCTTGGTTTGTGCTCTGACATGCACTGTTAACTGTGGGAACTTATATAGACAGGTTTATGCCTTTCCTAATCATGTCCAATCAACTGAATTTCCCACAGGTGGACTCCAATCAAGTTGTGGAAACATCTGAAGAATGATCAGTGGGCACATCATTCACCAGAGCTCAATCTTGAGTGTCATGGCAAAGGCTGTAAATACTTATGTACATATGGTTTTTTTTTTTTATTTTTAATAAATTGCAAAGATTTCAAAACGAACTTCTTAATGTTGCCATTATGGTGTATTGTTTGTAAAATGTTGAGGAAAAAAATTTATTTAATCCATTTTGGAATAGGGCTGTAACATAACAAAATGTGTCAAAAGTTAAGTGCTGTTAATACTTTCTGAATGCACTGTGTGTGTATATAAATAAATAAAAAAAAAAAAAAAAAAAATATATATATATATATATATATATATATATATATATATGTATGTTGTCCTGATAGCTCTCCGTTGAGTTTTTGTCTGAAAACCTGAAGATTTGGAAGAGTCTGGATTACATAATAAAGTTTAAAGTAGTTTGTTGTTCAAGATGAAATGCTTTTAACTTGAGATTAACCAGT